TTGGCAGATTTATTGAGCGACAGGTTCTTTCTTGTTTCCTTGTCTGCCAGAGCTCCTTGTTGCTAATACTTTCTGGCCATCTTATCTTCAGTATGGAGGCAGCAAATTCAGATGTTAATGATGGTCCGGAGAAGCCTATTGAAAAGCTTTCCGAGATGCAAGCACCAAGCCTCTAAGCCACGTAGAAGCGCTGACTTGACGTTAGTGCTGAAGATCCGGGGGTTGCTTTTTATGCTGGATGTAGCAGATTTCCTCACTGATTTCAGAGGAACGAATATCCAATTGCTTTTTTGAGCCTTCATGACTTTCACCCTCTTGCGCTTACTCTTAGCAGATATCTTTATTTTGCAGTTTGAGAAAGAAATGAAAGGCATTCTGGGAAACGTTGCACCTTATAAACATTATGTGGATAATATGCTTATAATTGGTGACATTTATCAGCCAACTGAGAACTCCACTACTCTATTTAACCTCAATAATCCAAATATTCGAATGAATTCAGAATTCGAAATGCATAACTAATTGGGTTTCCTGGATATTTTGGTGACTGTGTGGGAGGATGGAATACACAGGTAGATGGGTAGTAAATAATCTCCATTTCAGCAGTTTCGTTCCCATCATATGCAGAAATAATGGTTAGTTTCGAGAAGTGGAATATCAGTGAAGCAATATTTTGTGTCGACTATGCACTCAACCTTCATCCTAATGTCCGAGTATGTTAGAAATATCGAGTGGTCTTTTGTTGGAAGATTTTAACAAGTCATCTATCATGTGTGTGTGGATGAAAAACTTCAACCGGAACAGGCTGGATTCATAAGAAACAAGTCATGCACCGAGAATATGGCAACACTACGTATTATCATTGAACAGAACCTGAAATGGCAGTCAGCTGTCTATCTGAATTTCATCGACTTTGAAAAGGCCTTCGACGGCGTCGATCGAGAGGTGATTTGGAAACTACTTCGCTACCACGGTGTGCTGCCAGCAATTATACATTTCATCCAATGCTTGCCAAGTAATCCATGACGGGAAACTCAGGGAATCCTTCGAAGTGGAGACAGCAGAAAGACAAGCGGGTTGCCTACTATTTCCAGTGATTTTCTTGATTGTGGTAGACTGGATAATGTGACAGAGAGCGGGTAGTGCGGAAACAGGCATAGAATGGACCCACACAAAATACTTGTAGGATGTGGACTTCGCCGATGATATATGTCTGATTTCCCACAAACTGAAAGATATGCAAGTGAAGAGCAACAAGTCGGCAGAAGAAGCATCATAGATAGGAAGGCTTTAGGTGAACATAGAGAAAACAGATGTGGTGATGAATATTCCTGGCCGACAGAGGCAGCAACAACAACAACAGAAAACAATCAACATTGGTGGAAGAAATCTGAAAGAAGCAACCTCCTTTACCTACCGACCTGAGAAGCATAGTTTCAACTACAGGTGGAACCGGTGAGGATATCAAAGCGAGGATCTGGAAAGCAAGGCAAGCTTTCATTACTCTCAAGTCTGTGTGGAGATCAACAGCACTCAGCACTCAATTACTACACACAACTTTAGCTCAAGGTATTCAAAGATGATGAAAGCATTGAATCACGTGCACCCCAAACTATGAATACAGAAGTCAGTAGATTTCCACCTTTGCCTACTATAGATTACCTGACCTACTAAAAACACTTGGTCATAAATATGTACTTCCACATTTTATGTAACTAATTAATTACTTAAGATTGTATCGCAATATTTTGGATGATTCTGTTTGTAAAGTGGACGTAAAGAGATTATGAAGTTATATTATCTCAGAATATATCTTCTAATTTAACAGTTACATAATTCAAGAGATTGGAAAAAGGAATGACGAAATTAGAGACTTTAAGAAACAGTAATTTCGTGTTATACTTGATTGTGTCATGATTGTTCAACAATGTTCTGCTGATGTGCATAGTAGATTATATGAATAATGAGCAATTAATTCACTTTCTCAGTTTCGTACTGTTAATTCTCCTCTGCTAAATGCTTAGTTTATCCCGCGACATTTATTTATTCAGAAGAAACAACCAGCGAATAACTCTGCAGTGTTCACGATCCCCTAAGTGCTCTTAAGACTGAAAGTCATGGGAGATATTAAAGATGAAATTGTATCGCATCTAAGTAGAGCCTTCGAAATGACTCTTAACGCAGGCATGTCGTGCTGTTCATTCGCTACTCAAACTAGGCTTACTTATATCGTAATATGAAGACATACTGCATAATTTCATCCATTCCATGTGTAGCTATCCGTTTAAGTAGTGTCGTAGGAGTAGTTATATTGTGGTTACGATTAGACAAGCTCATCAGTGTATTACTGTACAATACTCATCTTGATTATACAACTTCACGTAGCTCAATATTATCTCATATCTTCAATATATTTTTCGTACTCCATACATATGTTCAAAATCTGTTCCCTGCATACAGTAGATGCGTTTGGGGTTCGTCTCAGTAAGCTAAATATGTTTGTTCGGAGGAACTGATTACAGTCATCGTTTTTATTCTGTCCGCCAACACAATATATATATATATATATAGATGCTCGTAAGCGATTTCCTCCAGTCCTTGTGAATATCATTTGACATTTTTATTTTGTATTTCTGTTATTTTATTATGACTATTATTTTATCTGATTCAGTGGACCTAATCTGACGTATCTCCCCTATTCATTGTTCACAATTGTCATTGTCTTACACGTTGTGTAATGACCTGTTGCTCAAATCTACAGACAAAATGATCTTCCATCCCACAGTTATCTTAATTCCTAATAAATCTTAAAAGTAATAATACTTATTGACTAACACATCACTGAAAGATTGGCATTATTTTGATGTACGACTAAAACTATACACATGTGGAGCTTTTGATGAGGAACTAATTGAAGGGGAATATGTTTCTTCACTCATTTTGTTATTGTTTTCAAATGTGTCGACGGGAACGGATCATTATTGGAATCTTCATTAACTGTAGTAGTGTGTCAATTGGACCTGATTGCATACCGCTAGTTTAAATCGCAGCATTAATCACAATATTGCATCTAATTTCCTCAAATTATAAATAAAATTACTCACACAGAAAATTTTTCACATTTACAGTAGGAGTAATTTCAAAAACATGCAGCATATAAAATGGAAATAATAGTAATGATAACAGCTAAGGTAATAATAACAATACAAGTGAAAATTGCCGTGGGCTTGTTCCACGCAGTATTGTCGATGTGGTGTACAAATCCTAGCATGTTTAAAAATATTGAATATAATGTTCCCTTTACATGATATGGTGAGGGAAAAACAAAGATTACAGCAGTCATAGAGATAAGTTGGTGTTTGCAATTATGAGAGTAAAACAAAGAAGCAACAGGACCATAAATATAATAGAAATAATAAAAGTAAAACTTGAAGGTATATAAGGATGGATGGAGGTAATTGTTTATTTACTGGATGAAAAAAGGTTAGTTAATTCTTGCCTGACATTATTTTCACCACATAAAATCCGTGCCAACTATGGTATCATAGAATTTTTATACTTAGATGTGCGAGCATACAGTTTTCTGAAGTTACTGCTTGTTCTACCTGAGGAGATGCAAGGTGAAAGCTGAGGGTGAAGTGGATGCTCCAAGTCAGACAAAATCCCTTTAGCAAATTTACTGCACGAAGTCAAGTGCCTATCGACAACGACGTTAACTATGTGGTCCACTGGGACACCATTCACCCTACTGACCGTCTTCAGCATTCTACGAATTGTGACATAGTCCTTTTTAAGCAAACCAGGAAAGAATGAGGGTGAACAATAAACAAGAATAGGTAGGATGCAAGAGTTTATGAACTGCAAGAGGAGGGGTCAAGTTATACCCGAGTGCCTTAACTTCTTAATTTTATCTTGAAGCAATGTTCATTCAATCTGCTAGTGTTGTCATTTCTTTTGTCGCCTTAAACAGTTCCTTCGATTGTCTCATCTCTTCCTGTTTTGAACTGACTTATCCAAATTCAGAAATTGTCAGGTGATGCTTCATTTATCTACTGTTCTTGTCAGTTTTACACCTCTTTCTAAAATTTATTGTTTTCATGAATGATTTCGTATATTTCATAACCTGTTTTACTGTTTGAAATTACCTCCAGTGTATCAAAGTTGAGAATATTTGAACTCATTTATTTCTCCATGATCAAAATATAATCAGTTCAAGATGTCGATTTAATATTAAATTATTATATGAATAGTACAATATAGAGTAGTGGAGTACTGTGTTACTACATTTTTGGAAAACACTTACATTTTGTCAAAAATTCTGTGGACTTTGAGTTTTAAAATCACATTCACATAACCAGTTCTACTCTTATTTTACATATAAATAGACAGTGAATAATGAACTAGGTGGCTATCTGATCTGAATTATTTCACAATAATTTTCTTTTGAAGTGCGGTATGTATTGATTGTTACACTGAACCATGGACTGACTGCGTTTTTTCACCACGTTTAGAGTGCACAGATCAACACGTTGGTCACTGGATTGATGTTAGTTGTTCCAATAAGTTAGGCAATGAGTCCTGCAGTGTAGGCATTGTATTAACGTTTGTGAATGCATTATTTCATCGTTCAATATCGAATATCAGTGGAGTTGCAGATACAAAGATATCGTTTTATATGTGATTACAAGGAAGTGAGAATTCTTTTCCAAATTATGCGTAAACAGTTAGCGTGTTGAAACATCAGAAATCAGTTGGATTTGGTCAAAAAATCTGTCAGTTCCATTGCGTAAAATTGAATGACGCCTATTGAATGAATTATATTCAAAATAAAATGACGTTTCAAAGTATGCAGGAATTTTTCAAATAGCTTAAATCATATATACTCACTTCCTCACCTAGTGATAATGAAATTTTCCAGATTCTCACGTACCGTTTGACAGCCGATGTTACTGCACACTGAATTTAGCGAGCTGAAATACAATCTCAACAGCAATTGGCTGAATGTTGAGTGCTCAGCCATCCCTATATCACATACATATCAAAAACAGAACACAAATCAAACCTATTTATATCACATTATTCAAATGCTTTCGAATCATTCTACACACCGAACAGCAGTAATCATCCTATTTTCTATTTAAATTTCAAATCAGGTTCATCTTTCTTTCAGGATGGTACTAACTGACAACGACTCAAATAAATCATCTTTCCGTAAATCTGAGGAGACTTTATATGCAACAAATGAAGAGTCATTTGTGATAAACTGTGATCAGAAAATACAGAAAAATTTCGTCAACATTTCGAAATATGACAAACGTGTAGGTCGTCTCATGTCATTGTTGGTTGATTGTGTAACCCTCATAGGTGATTGTGTTCTCTATCATACTCATTATAATTGCAATAATCATCGTTATAGCCCCACACTTCTTGTAAGTATTCATCATTCTCTTGTGTATGTTAGATTAAAGTGGGTCGTACGACTTGAATCCGGTTGTTCACTTTATAATGACTATGGTATTTTGGTAAGTTTAATTTAGCTTCAGTATTCTGTTCATTGTGGATGCATTTTTCATTTGTAAAAAATTGTTTATTCATACTAGTCATTGTTACTATTTAGTTAAAAGGGCAATACTATTACCTCAAATTAACAATGAAGCCACCTTATATTCTTGTGTATTTCGAGTGATTATTTCCGTAGGAGAATTGCTGACAGCTACAGAGATGCGTAACAACATCAGGTTCCGTCTGCGGTTTCAGATAATAAATAACTGATTTTATGCCTCATTATTCGGTTGAATGTGTTGCATTTAATATCAATACTAATACTTCTTAAACTTGAACCCTCCCTTAAAAGCTTTGAAGACCCCAAACAATTTGCCTATAGACAGGGTAGGAGCACTTTAGACGCTGCAGCCGTCTTACACAACAACATCCTCTCATCATTAGATAAAGGTGCCAAATACGTCCGCTGCACGTTTCTCGACTTCACTTCTGCTTTCGACTCTGTACCTAGATGTCTCCTGCTAAATAAGCTCTCTTTGACAAAAACTGAGTCCTGGGTCACTAACTGGCTGCATTTCTACTTCTCTAACAGAAAGCAGTACACCGTATACAAAGGCAAATCATCCTCTGCTGTACTCACTGAAGCTGGTGTCCCCCAAGGTGCTGTACTCTCCCCACTTCTCTTTTCTTTCTTTCTACATGACTTACCATCTTCAAATGATATTAACTTTGTCAAATATTCTGACGACCTGACAGTATCTTTGCCTGTCAAATGTCAAAGCGACTGCTCTAAACTTAATGGCTTTCTGTCAGAAATCAGCCAGTGGTCCAAGGAAAACGGTCTTACCCTAAACCCCTCCAAATGCCAAACAGTCAATTTCACCTTTAGGCATAAATCCGACCTAAACAAACTGGTTGGCTCTCACGAGGTATGCAACATAGACGGCACTGAAATAGAAATTAAATCGGAAATTAAATACCTAGGCGTCATTCTATCTGCTGATCTCTCCTGGTCGTCTCATATCTTGACGATTTCTAAGAAAATATTCCGTCTTACCTTCTACATCAAGAAGTTAAAACATTCTGGTATAACCCAACCCTTACTCCTACAATTCGTTAATTCTCGCATTCTGCCTATTATTCTCTATTGTTCCCCCTTAGTTTTTCCCGGGCTACTGAAGAAAGACTATAACATATTACGCAGGATGTTAAAGGTTGTCAGCAGGGTAAGCAACGTGCCACTTAACCAGCTTGTTAATACTCTGGTTGACAGGCACATGGACTCATGTGAAAAATGGGCCAAATCCATTTTATCTAACTCACACCACCCTCTTCACTCACAACTCTCCCCTTGCATCTCATCAGGTAAAACCAGAAGCCTATATAGAAAATATATGCTCGCACCAGCAAGTACAAAAACTCAACCATACCCTACTTAGCTCGTGTTCTATGTGATAAAGAAAGCATTAGGCGTGACACCTATAATTCATTAAATAGTCAGTAGTACAACTGGATCTCGTCTTTCCAACTCATATCATTTATAGGTACAACATTTTCTTTCTTTCTTTTCCTTTTCTCTCTCTTTCTTTTTTTCTCTGTTATGTGCTGCTTTGTTTCTTTCTTTCGCTTACGCCAGTAAATATGATAGCACCTACTTTTCTAACACCTTCAAACACTGTTCAGCTTTGGCTTTGCTACCGACATGCCAATATGTTGTTGTCATAATGAACTGATATTTCCTTAATCTATGTAGAATTCTATTTATTGATAATGTACTAACTGGATGCAATACTGTAGTAAAAATGCTGAGAATTCCATTCTGTATCACATGTACTGTTTTGGAATAAAGCAAATTATTATTATCAATCGAAAATCTGTAGCAGCCTCAGTAAAACGTTCTGATGTCTAGGCTTGGAAGGAGTTTGTTCAAAAAATTGTTACCTGAGAAGCACTACAGAGCTGTAAAATACCGAGTGCGGTTTAATTCTTCACCAAGTAATGTTGTTCTGAAATCAAACCGTTCTAAAACACTCTGCTACAGAGGAGGAGATAATTATAGTTTATTCGAAGTGTGGGAAATAAATAAGCATACTAGGGAAATATGTTTAGCCAAGTAACATGTGGACAAGTAGATAATGAAAGGCTGGAAATGAAACTTTTGATTTTCAATGTATCAATAAAGTTTCATTAAAAAATTATTGTTTCACTTCACAAACTTTTATTTCTGTTCAGCGTGTTAGCCATAGCCAGTGGATATCTTATCGTAATTTCTACATATTTCAGAGAAAAACTGATTACTGCTTTAATTACTCTTCTCATTTATGTGAGTCAATCGGTATTTTCGATACATAACTTCTTCATGTTTATTTCCTTAAGCAAATGTAAACGATACTCAGTTACTAATTAAATGAGACGTTTGATGGGCACCATTCATGAGACTGAAATTGTAAGTTCAAATCTGTCAGAGTCTAACATCTTTCACAACAATTAATATGCAATTTATGCAGATAAAATTTACAGGAGGACTACAATGAATCTGTTTGACCGGGGATTTCTCAGATACTGAAGAACTGAACTAGTGTTTGACATGCAGTGTTCTTTGATAGACACACTGGATAGTATTGTGAGATGTGTTTTGAAAGTGTATGGATCTTACTGCCAGGAAGTATCTGGGTGTAAGGGGTAAATAGTTTTGCAAACACTTATTAAGGTGCATCAGAGTCAGAGGGGAAATTTTATTTCGACATATCCATGAAATGTCTTCTGACTGAAGAAGGTGAATAATAGGTCAGAATAAAATTGGTAAGTGAACGAAGATGATATTTCAAAGATGAATGATTAAAACCAGAAAGTTACTAAATACCCAGTAAAGTAGCAGGACTAGATAGAATGCCCAAAGAAGCACTCAAAACGGAAGCAGACGGCTCAGCAGGTATGTTCACTACACTACTGAAAAAAGTGTGGAAGATGAAGAAGTTGCATCATCCTGATGGGACTAGAAAACCACTTTGTTTGGAACAGGACATTGGCTGACAGTTGCACCATATGTCGCAAACTGCCAGAGGTTGCAATTCATCGTCCATTGCATTTGACTCCAATGATGACAGCATCATATTTAATCAATTAGTGGTTACGTCAATCAAAACATAAGGTCCTACAACCATGTAGTAGATAGCATCTGCAGACTATTAACGAAGTTACACTTTGAAGATATAAATGGTAAACGCCTTCAACAAACACACTTCGGTTGTTATTTAGCTATTTTTTGAAGCGAACATGAAATCAAAATTTGCTATAAATAAATTGACTCTGTGTCTAATTTGTTTTCTTTTACTTTTCAACTCCAGGGAATATGTTGCTCTATTTGTCTGTCCATTTTCTTTACCAGTGCTACACTTGTGGATGTTATTCTGGGTTGGGTTGCAGCTGTTGTCATATGTGCATGTGGAGTATTTTTAGGGGCAATGATAAAGAAAGATTTGATTAAGAAATTCGACGCCTTCCTGTTAGTGTGTGTTGTGATTTTTGTTCTGACAGGCATTGCCATGGGGGTACTAATTGCTTTCAAAAAAGTCATGGTATGTGAACATATTGTCAGTTTATATGTATCCTGTAATTTTAGGTTTAATCACGGATTAATAACAGTTAGCCAACCACTGTAAACCACTAGGGAGTACTGGAGTACTAAATAATTAATGGATGAAATTTATGTTTACTATTTCTGGTGTAACTTCAATGTTACTGGGATTGTGGACTCGTTCTACAGCTACTTCAACACAACAATAATACACGTGCCTATAGTGTTGTAACTGAGACTTAGCACTGGACATCAACATGCTACTGATAGAACGGAGTATCATTCCCCACACTGAGAAGAAACCGATGACTGACTGAGAAGACAAGATTTATTTTTCCAAACAAACAAGAATAACATTAAGAATTACAGTCAACTATTTCGTTATTTTATATAAGCAATAAATTACTAGCTTAGGAAACAAAGTTAGACGTATTATTACAATTATTGGTTCCTTGAGATCCGAGTGAAACATATGACTTCACAAGCTCATCTCCGCTCCACTCAGTTCTCTGTTATCACTTTCATCGGAATCCAGGACTATACACTAGCGATCATAATGGCTTCTCATGATCTTCTCCGGTTCACTGTCAGACCTATACCTAACTTGGTTTTTTAAATCATTCGGATAACATTGGACAGATTTTAGCAGAATACAATTTGAACGTCTCTTCAGCGAATATCCAATCCATCTGCGTATACGTCTGCATATTTTCAAGTTTTGGCTCGCAGGCATTTGATTGATCACAGGTTTCATCACAAGCTGACTTTGGTTTTAACAACAATGGAAACTTAGGGAGTACTGTATGATTGTTTTATCTTAGTTTTAGACTCTACATCAGTACGCACCTACCAGAATTCACACCCATGAACTTTCGGTTGCAGAGCAGGCTCTCAGATCATTTGGCCACTGGGGGCAAATCGGATGACTCATAAATTCCAACGTCTCTCTAGAATTAGTGACCAGAGAGGTCCATCAAGTCAGGAGTGACAATAGCTACTAACCGATAAAAGTGGCTGCTGGTTGCACCGTATATATCACGAACTGACAGAAAGTGGAATTAATGTTCCGTTGTATTCCTTATCAGTGACTTAATGGTATACGAGGCTGTTTTGTAACAGGAAAATCCTGAGTTAGGATACTGATGGGCCTGTGCTGCTGAGGAAACCGAAACTGCCGTCCAGTGCAACCTGGTTCTGCACTTTTGGTGGACAGTAGGCTATTAGATATTTTGTTGCCAATATGTATTTGCCTATCATGTACTTGGATTCCTTGTAGAGGCATTATCCCTCGCATAGTTTAACAGCCATCACTTAGTCCAGAAGTGAGGGAGAGTTGAGTGTTACAGCCAAACGCATCGCTAATGAAACTCGTAAGCACATAAAAAAAGATGACTGAAACATACTGCTGAATACTTTCACGACTAAATGCATCGTAGAGTGTCACTTTCCATCCAGAAAATGAGTTCAACTTTCATTTCATTCAATTATTATTCAAGTTTGTCCTGTTCACACTGTCCTTACTTCGACTGTTCATTTCAATTTTAGGTTGCTGTTATCATCGCTGGAATAGGAATGTTTATAGAAGCATTTCTGGTGAGTAAATTATTCTAAAAGTCAAAACAATGACTGATATGGTTTACCATTTAAATCAAAGCTCCTCTTTCTTCAATCCATTTCGTTTCGAATGTTTGAATTATAAGATTATAATTCGTATTTTCACGTCGAAAATCTTCAAATCAACCAAACCACTTATCTTTTAAGGTCGTCCTACCAAGATTTTCATTTCTCCAAATCAAGCATCGCTCACTCTTGCAATTGACAGCTTATCGCAAAACTGAAGACTCCTTACTTTTCAACAAAGCAATAGAGTGCACAGCCTATTATTATATCAATACTATTCTTCCTTTCGGTTTCGAGTGTAACGTAGGAATTCAATAGTTCATCTCCACTTTGTCCTATTTTCTGCTGTCGTCTTTAGCTGGCCTTTGGATTGCCTATAGTTTCTCATCTCCTCCTCCACTATCTCCTTTCTGTCATTCTCGAATTCATGACCCACTCATCGTCCCTCATCCGGATTTCATCCTAGTGTGTGATGTGCGATTTCATTCGAAAGTCTTCTCAGCGTGAGACTTATCCCTCTCCATTTTCTTCTGCATGGTTGTTGAACAATAGGCGTATGTTTGTTCTCATAGTTTCTTGTCACTAATTCTTTCTGGTCATTTGGTCTTAGTGTGGAATGAAGGAAGCTGTTGATGGAAGTCTACAGCTGGTCAGAAGTGCTTCCTGTGATGCGCGCACCAAGTTTTTCACCCACAGAGGAGAAAAATCGAAGATTTTGTTTTGTTTGTGTCGAATTCAGAAGATTTATACACTGATTTTAGCTTGATTAAGGTCTGTGTCGCCTTTCCGATTCTGGTTTTAACATCGTCCTCCAAGTCACCGCTCGTAGTTGAAACCATACTACCTAAATAAGCGAAGGATATGTATGGTGCTTACTGTCGTTGCCTGCATTATCTTTTCTTTGTCAAATGAAGTCCTATCTTCGCTGCTTCCAATTCTGACTTTCACGTGAAAGTCTTCGAGTTTATGTAACATTAGACGTAAGTCGTCCACGAAATCAAGATCTTCCAGAGTCTGCTTATCGGTCGATGTGTGACCGTCTTCTCGCTCTGCACAGTCTGCCGCATATCCTCTGCGATCTCAACATCGGCTTTCCAATGCTTCTTAAAATAAGAAAAAAGAGTAAACAGAGAAGAAAATTTTGATTTCGACGATTCATTTTCACGAGCTGCACAATCGTAATTATAATTAACAAAGAAATCTTTAGACCAATCAGATACTAGCAAACTATGTCCTCGAAAAATGTACTACATAATTTAAGGTGTAAGAAGGGTTGACTAATTGTAAGTTAGAAAAGAGGCAGAAGTTGGCATGACGTGATAAGTGTGAGATAATGACTAATCAGTAAGCTCGTGTAGAATAGACAGGAACTAGTGGGAAGGCGATGAAGTGTTTTTACATAAAATCTGTATGAAAAAGCAATGTTATTAATAAACAGTAATAGAGTGGTAATAAAATATGGGTGAAGGGAATAATGATGATGATAAAATAAAAGTAGTGTTAACAATAATAATAGTGAACTTACGTAAAAAAAGAAGAAGCGAAATTGTAGTAAGAAATTTACTCTGGCCACGGTAGGGTGAGTGAATGTATTTATCGCCTTTGAATGCAGAGGTCCGCTTTCAGATCTCGAATAGCTAATGCTTCAGCTATGTACAGATGGCGTATTCGAAATCCCTTTGTACGATATGGAGGGACTCTGTGTAACACTGTGAAGCATTCATGCGGCGGTGCTCGACATCCAGAGATGACAAGCTGTTTGGGGGTAGAGCTGCTGCTATTCGTCTTTTCTTCTCTGTCTAACCAAGCTGAACAGTGTTCCAGATTACGTTTGTGGACTTGATGTTGCGTACGGCAGATATACTTTGCAATTTGATAAATACACATTGAAATTTCCAAAAGCGGAATATTATCCTTAACTTCCTCAACAATCATATGTCAATACCTTGAGATACGTAGATAAGAAACCTTTGTATCTTAAGTTAAACTGCAAAGTGGAAATTGCAGCTGATATTCTAAAATGTCGACTTAACAGAGCGGTAGACAGAACATTTCCTGCAGTTAAACTGGTACTCAACTTCTCAACTAAACCAGTACCCACACAACGAGTCAAGGATAAATTACCAAAGATGGCCCCATCAATGTGTATCTGTGAATTCAAATGCTCATGTGCAGCTAGTTAGATTGACTGTACGCAGAGGGTTTTATCCACGAGCGCGCATGAACATGTACTTGTATGGTTGAGTAAAGGGGTAACCAAATGCGCAAATAGTACAGTCTTAGCCCACTTGGTAGATACTGGACACTCGATAAAACTTGACCATGCGTTCTCAGTTATTTACCGCGTTCCTGGTAATCTGTCTAGAAGAGCTCGACTACGTCTTCTAACAGTAGCTGAAGCGGCTACAATCAAGACCAGAAGACCGACTCTTTGTATTCAGAGGAAGTACGTTCAACCTCTATGTTTACCTTGGCCTTCAATAAGGCCAACAAATTCTCCATAAACATTAGCACTGTGAATTCCTATCACAATTTTCTTTTCGTCTTCTTCTATTCCTTTTTTTCATTGACAAACGTTCATTTTTTGACTTTTTATGATTTCATTACTTTAGGTTTAAGTAGTGCTTTTCTAACTTGTTATCGTATTTACAAAATCCTGTTCATTTCACTTCACTAAAGTCATTATTATTATTATTTGACAATCATTCACCAATAGTACTTTTTAGTTTACACCACATCATCGTTATTATTTGACAATCATCATTATTGTCGTTATTTTCAACCTTGAGCTTATGTCTAGTCTGCCCCATTCGTTGGTTTATTTCCTGAAGTATTCATATTGTCTTATACACCAGGATTATACCTGACTATGTTTAAAATTATATTTGTAATATCTCAGCGAAATTGAAACGAGTAATTCCAACATTTTTTTTCAACAAGCTGGTCTCAACTTCTTCAGGGAAATTAATCAAAATTAACATAACAGAGGGTTATATATTAAAAGTTCAAATCGTGTTTTTAAAAGCTTTGTCCAAGCATATGAGTCATGAAACAAACATCAACATGTATAATAACTGATGTCAGCTCATGATGAACTCCAAATAATCAAAGTTGTATGAGTTGTGATCAAAATTTGACCTCAGACTTACAAATTTTAGTCTACATTCGTTAAACAGTTTAAACTGAGTATACTTTTCACCAGAATACGTTCGACTAGCAGTTCGTGGTCGTAGATAACTGAATATGAAAATATGTGCATATGCAGTATGCAATGGAGTGTGTATGTGTGTATGGGTAAACAGTTGTACAAAATTTCTTAGCCTCGAGGAGATATAGACAAGTATGATTAATTAGTGATACATATCCATCTTTTATTTATTAATCAGGAT